CTTGATCTCACCTTGGTCACTGGAAACCATTAGTTTCTACTCAAAATCTCTGGAGCATTCATGTGTGTCGTGCTGCTGCTGGACCCCAAAGCTCTCAGCTGCCACAACTAGCAAAAGCAGCAGCATTACAGAGAAATGCAGCACCTGATCTGACAGATGAGGAGTCTGACAATTTGGCAGGCTTGTTGCTTCACTCTGCGAGGGAAATCCCTGTGGCATATCTGCTGTTAAAAGTGCTTCATCTTTTTTTTTTCCCCAGCTTCATTCACTCATTATTTCTTCTCTCCTACATACCACTTCTTGTTTGCACTTGCTCCAGTGACAGCAGCAATCTCCACTGTCTGTCCACCTCGGCCTCTTTTCTCTGCGTACCTGGTACAGGTACAGAACACCTTCACCAAACTGATCTGCAGGTGACCATTGCGTTACCCACCACAAGCACCACTCTACTAAGTTGTCTACAGGAAAATGCTACTGGTGCTACACTGATAACGTTCAACAGCCTGTACTGATGTTTATCTGGTTCAAGTCCATGAGAAGCCTAGAGGCTGAGCCTCTCACCAGGCTCCAGCAGGGCATCTGGCAGGAGATTTGTGTCCCATTACCCTTGGACCGGCATTTCTCAGGACCATCAAGCATTTGGGACTCAGATGGAGTACAAGTGAAAAGGAGATGGCTTGAGTTTCTGCTTTGCATTCACATGCATTTTAGCCACCAACATCCTAAGTTACATGGGATTTTAGACAGACTACATCTTACTTTATTTTGTCCTGAAACCTTGGCTCATTTTCTTTATTTTATACTCATTTTTTACACCTACTTACTTCCTATATCTTAGTTACTTTAAGCTCTCTTCATTTAAGATTTTCTTTCTTTAAGTCTGTAGGATGTCCCTCACTACAGGGTCACAGGTCTTTCAGGTCTTTCCAGAATAGATGAACAAAAAGTAAACAAAGAGAGACTCCAGTAAGATAATAACAAAACTAACAATCAAATTCTATGGATCAGCTAAAACTTTATGAGTAACAAAATACTCTCTAAACAGAACTCTTGCAGTAGTATTCCTGTAAAAGATATAACTGGAGTAAGCACATGAACATGGGAATAATATTGAAAAGACTATCAGCAGGGAGTTGTGCAGAGTTCTAGCTGTAGAAGGAATTTGGACTAATTAGACAAATTGGTTAGGTCTCAGAAAATGTAGTTAATATGTACCAGAAGTAAAATCTCAGGCTCCATTAGTTTGCAAAACCATGTCTTTGTAACCAGAAGGAACATTTTTTCATACTAAGAATCCAAGTCAGTGGCTCAAAAGTGTATTTTGATCTTCTTAATGAGAATCAAATAAATGCCCCATGATAGTACCTCCAAAGTAATTTATTCCATAATAAATGCATGCAAAAATTTTTATGGGTACAGATCTAGAAAAGAAAAATATAAGAAACCCCAGTTCTAAATTCTTGCTTAGAGAAAACCCAACTCAGATACACAAAATCTATTCTATTTATCAAATCAATTCAACTCACTGATCTACTGAAGTTCGTGGTAATTCTGGCAGAGAAAGAAATACAACTGATCTTGATCTTGGGGACCGATTCTTACCACTACAAATCATTTACTTCTATATGCTAACATCTGGGGTATATTTTTTAGACATACACTTAGTGGTGTATCTTTCCTTTTTAAAGAGAACTCTTCAGTGTGAGAAATCCTGCTGTCAGGATACTCCTAAATGAAGTTCTGAGCATTGTTATAATGTCAGCAAGGAAATAGGAGGCAATGCAGTGAAAGCAGATGGTGCTAGCACTGGATGGCTCTGGGAGGAGTGATTGCTTAGCACTCCTTAACAGTGTCCCAGGCAGATAAACATGCCAGTAGCATGTGGCATGTTGGGGGGAAGGTGCAAATTGTATACTGTACTTTTGGGAGACTAATTTTCAACAAAACCTGTGAAGAAAACTCCTCACCAACCAGCATGAAACCCTTTTTGCCCATGTCAGTCTGAGCTTCCCTGCAGCTTGTCTGTGTAAGTAGTGTGGCAAAAATACTAAAAAATGAGAAGGCACAGAAGTTAGCAATGCAAGTAAAAGCTGTCTTCATTTCTATCCTTTAAGATAGCTTTTCCCTGCCCAGAGAGGCACCAGCTGCTGACTAAACATAAAAGAGACAAAAAACACATTAACTGATATTCACAATGAAGGAGAGAAATACATAAAGCAAAAGAACAGCCACGACAGCCAGTGATGGCAGCAGCTCACTTTTCTCTGCAGCCTCAGCGAAGAAAACATCTGCTGACCATATACTGGCAATGTTTGTTATTCACTTCAGAGACACTATGACCTTCCCAAGGGAGGAAAACTAAGGATGCACATTCATCTGTTTTCAAATAACACCTGACATCAGATCTTCCAAGTAAGCAATTTTCTGCAATTAGAAGAGGTGCTTGCCATTAAGATTCATGCTAGATTCAGGCACTGACCCTAAAATTAATAACTTCCTTCTTCCAGCAGCTACATACTCTTATTTTAACACTCATTAATCCAAAGGAAAGGAGACTGCTGGTCTAGTTCAGATCCTACTAACACAGCTCCCTCTTTCCTTGCAGCAGAAACTCCCAAAAGGCCATCTAATGACCACACCACTGTTCTGAAAAGTGCCAAATAATGATTAGATTTTTTAAAGCGCTACCCACTGTGGGTTCACTAGTTTTAAAACTGCTTCCTTAGTAATCACTTAGATCTATCTGCAAATTATTGATGTTTGCACAAGTTTTGACCCAGTGATAACTAAGACTGCATGAGAAAGAGTAACAGAATAAGAAAATGCACACCCTCTTGCTGACTTCTATGGTAGAAAAAATCATTGCTGCAGTTGGGTTCCTATTTGTAAATAGAAAAGTAAAAATGGCACTTTGGCTTCTGTAACTGCATCGAGAGGAAATCTCTTTAAATTGACATGCTCCAGTAAAGGAGGGGGCCCAGCTGGCAGGGCAGCACTGTCCTGCAGCAAAGCCCTGGAATCAGCCCTTACGCAGCTCAGCAATGATTCCAGGGACCCCGGCATCGCCTCTTTGCAGAGTTGGGCTTTGGCCTCAGTTACGGTGTGCTGTAGGCTCCTGAAAGACAACTGTTTTGAAAATGTGAAACAGTGCCCTCCCTTTGTAGGAGGACAGCTATCACATGGACTCACACAACTCAGAGCCGAATGCTGTAGTGACATTAGGTTACAACCCTATTTTACGTTCTGAAAAGAGAAATATGGATTTGAAAATTAGGATAAAGCATCACCACTTATAAAGCTTCTCCACAAAATGCCCATATTTAAAGACTGTTGGTAGCATGCTTAAAAAAACAGACACACATGTATGTGACAGGATCCTGCACATCGGCTACTCACTCCAACTGCCATTGGTGACTCATGGTAGGCACTTTCGGCAGATGGCATGTGGTATCAGCCCAGCTTCCCACTTTTGAGGCTAAATGAGGCTTGTGTTTACTGCCTGATAGCTACAAGAGAAGATGCTCCATGAACATAGCCGCAGGGAGTGGATGGAGAGCTCATGCCAGCGCAATGCCATCTGTTCTGGGAGCTGCCTTGGCATCTGCTTGGAAAACAGCCTCTTGACTTGCCTTGCCTTACCTTGGTGTTAGAGAAAATTATT